CTGGTGTGATCAAACCACATTAGTCTGGAAGGAATCCACATTTTTTCATTTTCTGTGGAAACAAAAATAGAAATACTTTTCCCCAGTAACTTACTTGTTCTTCAACTTAAATTTTGGAGTCAAAGCGTTTTTTTTTTTATTATTATTATTATTTTACATGTCGATCCCAGTTCCCTCTCCCTCCCTAACCCTAACCCTCTTAATGATCTTCAAAAATTACTAGGAGAGATTTCTCAACTGCAAACCATAATTGGAGTAGAAGGGCATGATTTGAAAAACTTGAAAATGGCCCTAAAAGGAGATAAGGACTTGAATAGTCCAAGAATACTATCAGCTGAAGCTGAGAAGGAATTAGAATGGGTAGAAAAGAGGATACTAGAAGCACATGTGGACCGTGTGGATCCAAACCTAGACTGTATTCTGGTTATATTACCATCTAGAGAATATCCTTCAGGGATTTTGATGCAGAGAGAAGATATCATATTAGAATGGATATTCCTACCACATAACAGAATAAAAAACTGAAAACATATATAGAAAAGATCTCTGACTTGATTATAAAAGGTAAATTAAGACTTCGTCAGCTAATAGGAAGGGACCCAGCAGAAATTATAGTACCTTTAACTAATGAGGAAATTTCTTCCTTATGGAAAGATAACGAATATTGGCAGAGAGCTTGCAGTAACTTTTGGGAACAATTAGCAACAACTATCCCAAAACTGAGAGAATCAAATTCATAAAGAAAACGGTTTGGATTCTTCCACGCATTGTAAGAAAAACACCTATTTCTGGAGTTCATACATTCTACACTGATGCAAATAAATCAGGTAAGGCAGGATATAAATCAGGAAATATTAGCAAAGTGATTCAAAGCCCTTACAATTCTGTACAAAAGGCAGAATTGTATGCCATTCTCATGGTACTTATGGATTTTAAAGAACCCCTCAATATAGTTACTGACTCTCAATACGCAGAGAGAGTCGTTTTACACATTGAGACTGCAGAATTTATTCCTGACAATACAGAATTAACTTCATTGTTTATACAGTTACAAGATACTATCAGAAAGAGGACTCATCCTATATATATAACACACATCAGATCCCATACGGGTCTGCCAGGTCCTCTAGCACAAGGCAATGATGAAATTGATCGTTTATTGATAGGAAGTGTGCTAGAAGCCTCAGAGTTTCATAAGAAACACCACGTGAACAGTAAAGGTTTAAAAAAGGATTTTTCTATCACTTGGGAACAAGCCAAGGAAATAGTAAGGAAATGTCCTACTTGCTCATTCTATAACCAAACTCCTTTACCACCAGGCAGTAACCCTAAAGGTATAAATAGGAATGAAATATGGCAAATGGATGTGTTTCATTTTGCAGAATTTGGAAAATTAAAATATGTACATCACACTATAGATACATTTTCAGGGTTTCAGTGGGCTACTGCTCTGAGCTCTGAAAAGGCTGATTCTGTTATAACGCACCTTTTAGAGGTAATGGTCATTATGGGCATACCTGCACAAATAAAAACTGACAATGCTCCAGCATATGTCTCCAGCAAATTGAAAGAGTTTTTTGAGTATTACAAGATAAAGCACATAACTGGTATACCACACAATCCTACAGGACAAGCAGTGGTTGAGAGATCCAATCGTACTTTAAAAGAAATGCTCCATAAACAGGCAGGAGGAACCAAAACACCCAAACACAGATTACATAATGCTTTATTAACATTAAACTTTCTTAATGCTGATGAAAAAGGAAAAACAGCTGCAGAAAGACACTGGACAATAGAAAAAACTTCTTAACTAAATCAGCCAGTGTATTTCAAGGATGTACTGACCTCAGAATGGAAAGCAGGATATGTGTTACGTTGGGGTAGGGGTTTTGCATTTGTATCTACAGGAGAAGAAAAACTATGGATACCATCTAAGATAATCAAGATCCGAGTTGAACAAGAGAAACATCTTAATGAAGAGAAATGACAAGTCATCCAACAAACTAGGTCCTATGAGGTGTGCGGAGGCCTCTCAAAGGTAGGGGAAGTGTTCTGTTCTTGTTTTTACAGGAAAACAGAGAAAACCTATCATCAAACAGCCAAAAGACACTGAACATGTAGGTGCCTACAGAAGAGAAGACAGCTCTTCAGAAACAATCACTTAAGGAAGCAGAATCTGATATATGGTAAAAAAAAAATATTTAATTGTAGTAAACTATTTCTATATAGAAATCTATTTCTCTCTACTATCTAGTATTCCTGAAGTCCCAAATTTTGTAAACCAATGCTGGCTTTGGAGTTGGATTTGGCTTTCCTTCTCTAAATTCAAACATGTTGTTAAGATTAAATTCATGGTTTCTGCCTTAAATCAAGAAGCCAATTGGTGTAAGGCAGAAGAAAACAAAATCTGGGGACTCATATCTTATGCAATTTTCTCTCTGAAATCCTAATTTTCTCACATACTTTTAATGCTTATTGTTGTCTTTCCCTAATGCATACCTTAAAACTTGAAAATTTTACTTTAATATTGATGTGTAACTTATCCACAAGGAATAATAACGATTCCTAACAGAAGTCTTTGAACTTTCCGGAAAGAAGATGGGGCCCCACATCATCATTTCCACTTGACTCAACCTGATGCATCAGAACTACAAACATCACCCTAAAACCGGTTTGAGACTGTTTTGCTCGAGACAACTCATGACTAGCGAGCTGTAATGGTGCACCTTTTTATTACAACCTGGCCAGTTTCAAATAGAACTACAGTCAAGAATTTTCTGCCACACAGTGACTAACTACATATGTCGCAGCCAGTTCTGTTGAAAAATTTGGTTGCTAAAAATTTTCTTCCTACAGGATCCATTGGAGCAATCATCGTCCCATTTCAGCAGGAAGTAATCTTAATATGACTACGCCCCCTTTCCCTACCCTTGGAATTTTGGGATAATAGTCATCGTCTTTGGGTTGGTTTTAGTTATTTGGGATTGGGTGATGCTTACACTCGGTTTATCTTTTAGACAGAAATAGGGAATGGTGGGTAAAGGTATGGTTTAGATGGGATATAAGTAGATTAGCCTATTTCCTTGAGAATTTGAGTATGAATGAGATAGTATTTTACAGCTTACACTGTTATGTATTCCTATGTGGTAAGCTATGTAAAATTAAGTTTATATTTTGTTATATTGTGTTAAATGTTTCCACTTATAATATTTTATGCACATTATTTTTTACCATATTCTATGTATGTATACTTTTCTTGTGTTCAAGACATTTTGTATATTGATACAATTTGGGGATATTTATCTTGCTGCCCTTTATAGTTCTACCTCTTGTCTTGACACTTATACTCTACCTCTATTTTAGGGATTTACATGTAGGTATATGTAAATAGTTATATTGTTTAAGTATTTGTTCCTGCTTTACTCAGGAAAGTTTTAATCAGTCTTTTTAGCTAAGTTCCCGAGTATTACAGATTATCCTCACTCACATTTCCTGTACCTATGAGATTAGTCAGATATAGATGCTTAATCTTCAATCACTTCATAGACATGCAGAACATGGCATTTAAATGTTTTAATATTAGTACTCCATTGACATGAGACACTGTTGCTCCTGACAGCATCGTGCACTTTCCCGAAAATGTGTTGGACACTGTTGTTGCTCCTGCTGGAGTTCAATCTCGCCTCAGCTAATGGCCTGTTGGGCATAGAATTGCCCCCACCTTGACCACTGATTTGGACATGCAGTCCTATGTGCTTGCAGGAGACAAATATAGAAGACTGCTTGACCTTGCCAAGTCAGGGTAAGACAGCCATTCTATTTCCCTGCTGTTGTTGTGGTCTGTCAAGTTCTCTTGGCCTTAGCCAAATCTGGGTGTACCAACGTCGCTGTGAGACCTAGGGTGACTGTTCAGGTGGCTTGCTGTTTCTGTCCTTGCTGCACCTTTTGGAAGTTGTCCATCCGCATTTCCTGTCTACTCTAGTATTGTTATTTTCCTTCTCAGGTCTTGATGAGGTTGAAGATTAAACTATCACAACTATTATTCTTTCTTCCTAGTTAGATATATTAGGTACTAGACTTACGTTTTCCAGCTTAGGACAACTCTATTGTAAACTCCATTATGCCCTCACCCTAGGACTAGATATGTAGGTCATTTTGTTCTCGATTTTCCTTTTCTTAGAGCACACTTGTTATTCACTGTTTTGTATATAGTTTTGTATTAAGCCTAAATCTTTTCTTTAGACTAAAAGGGGAATTGTAGTGAGGTAGTCCTTCTGTAGCACTGACCACGCCGATTGGGGGGTGGAGCGATGGGCGGAGGTGACCTGAGGAAGGAGGTCGGAGGGGGCCAGGAAGGCGCTCTCTCTTTCTGGCGTGACTCAGACAGGAGAGGATCGGGTTGAATTTCCTGGTGTTCATCTGTCTAGGTTGTAAGTTATTTCTCCCTGAATAAACATCTATTCGGCCTATTTGTTTATCCTGATCCTTATTTACTGCAATAGTTCAGTCTCTATGAAATGGGAAAGCACAAGGGGTATCTGCAGTCCTGGCTAGAATAGTCTGTGAGACTGAACCATCTTAGCCAGGAGCCTTGAACCTGGTCTTGTTGTCTCAAGTCTTTACCATACTGTTTGCACTAACAGCATTTTTCTCACTGTGAATTCTTGCCTATACCCTAATATCAAGATGAAAAATAAAGATTTTTAAATATTTACAGGGCTCAAGACAGTGCCAAGCAATTAAGATAAGCTCATGACAAGAATCCAGGAGAGATTTTTGACAATCTCCTGTAATTTCTGATAGAAATCCAGGATGACTATGGGGTCTATACCTCTTGAAGCCATCAAGCATGGACATATATCCAAAAATACACTGATATAACCAAATAAAAATTAAAATGAATCATTAAACAAACATTTTTCACCCATGGCTATTTTTATTGCATAAGCATTCATTCTCATAACCCAGATATTTAAGCATAAAAAGGCTTACCTACAGAGTTTCTTTATTTTGAGTTACTTCATATAACAGAAAATAAGCATGTAGGCTTCAAAGTCATAGAATCAATACTTCTCAGTTGTTGGTATCATTTAGAAAACTTGAGAAAATGCTACCCTGTAGAAGAAATCTGGTGGTGGGTTTTGAGATTTTAAATCCTTGATACCACATCAGTTCACATTCTCTGCTTCATGCTTTGGGTTGAGGATGTCATCTTTGAGCTTCCTGCTTTAGCTATTATGTCTATCACATGTTGCCTGTTTCACTCTGGAACCATAAGCCAAATTAAGTTCCTTTAAAAGTTGCCTCATGTGTCCATAGGATTGTAGGTGCAAATAAATTAAAGAGGGACATTAAAATGCTTGAGTAGATTGCTGACACTTGTCAGATTTTTCTTCATGTGTAACTAAATAGAAGTTTGTTGACAAAAGCTCATACCAAATCCTTTATATTCATAGATTCCCCAAGTCTCAGTTCTTTCATGTCCTCAATGTCTACCATGATATAGGAAGGCTTTAATAAATGTATTACACCCTACAGATTTTATTCTTCGACAAACTCTTTCATAGATTCAAAGACTGGGGTGAAAAGCAAAGACTTTATAACAGTGATGAAATTCATATACTTGTTCTCCAATATGAATTCTTGCATGCCTTTAAAAAGATAACTATGGCATGTAAAGGCTTTACCACACTGATTACATTCATAAGGTTTCTCTCCTGGATATATGAATTTGGAGAAGACTGACTTGTGAAAAGGCTTTCTCACATTGATTACACTCATAATGTTGTACCTCGGTATGAGTGATTTTATGCCTTTGCAGATTAGCGTGACGTGCGAAAGCTTTCCCACACTGATTACATACATGAGATTTCACTCCAGAATGAGTTGCTTTATGAACTTGAAGATGACTGTGTTGTGAAAAGGCTTTACCACATTGTGTACATTCATAGGGTTTCTCTCCAGTATGGGCTCTTTTATGTATTTGAAGATTACTGTGACATGCAAAGGCTTTACCACAATGATCACACTCATAAGGTTTCTCTCCGGTATGTATTCTTTTATGTATTTGAACATGACTGTAACGTGCAAAGGCTTTCCCACACTGATTACATTCATAGGGTTTCTCTCCAGTATGAGTTCTTTTATGTAGTTGGAGACTGCTGTGATGTGAAAAGACTTTCCTACACTGATTACATTCATAGGGTTTCTCTCCAGTATGAGTTCTTCTATGTATTTGTAGACCACTATGTCGTAAAAAGGCTTTCCCACATTCATTACATTCATAGGGTTTCTCTCCAGTATGAGTTTTTCTATGTATTTGGAGATTTTTTTGTTGTGAGAAAGCTTTATCACACTGATTACATTTATAGGGTTTCTCTCCAGTGTGAATTCTTTTATGTCTCTGAACATGACTGTAACGTGCAAAGGCTTTCCCACACTGATTGCATTCATAAGGTTTCTCTCCTGTATGAGTTCTTTTATGTAGTTGGAGACTACTGTGGTGTGAAAAGGCTTTTCGACATTGATTACATTCATAGGGTTTCTCTCCTGTATGGGTTCTTTTATGTATTTTGAGACTACTTTGGTGTGAAAAGGCTTTCCCACATTGATTACATTCATAGGGTTTTTCTCCAGTATGAGTTCTTCTATGTATTTGGAGATTACTCTGCTGTGCAAAGGCTTTCCCACATTGATTACATTCATAGGCTTTCTCTCCAGTATGACTTCCTTCATGCCTGTGAAGATAATTGGCACATGTAAATGCTATAAGAAATCCATTTGTCTCATGAATACTTTAAACTATATGACTTAATTTTACAGTTTGTTCTAATGGCAAAGAGGAATCAGATATTAAGAGTTTACCATGTTGTTTCCATTCATAGGTTGCTCATCATTATTGGTTGGCTCTTTTGCATGTTTGAGAATACTTGTGATGGTTAGTGCCTTTAGTACATGGCTCACTTTGATAGCATCCTTTTTCATAAGACTTTTTAATATAATTGAAGATAAATAGAAGAACTCAGAGATTTACCACACTGATCAAATTCATAACATTTTCATATACTGTGAGTCACAACATTTGCAAAGTAAACCAGGAAAAACAGAAGAATTTATACAGTTTTTTATACTTAAAGGGCTTTTCTGTGGTGTGAGTTTGTTGATGTTTTTCCAATGAGGTTTGTAAAACAATTCTAAACTTACATCAGAATCAGAAAGTGTACTCAAAGTGAAGACAAATACATATCTCCTAATTATTCTTGGAAAAAGAGAGGTACATTACTTCTTTCCATATCATTTATGCACACATGACCTGTTTTCAGAGTGACATAAGGAAATACCATCAAAGAAAGAAAAACAAGTAAAAGGTGTCCATATTGCATTCACACATTGAACTCTTTTGTTCATCATAGAGACATAGTATAGGTATTGAGGTTTCTCTACAACAAAGTTCTTAATTCTCATAGACTGACCCTATCACTAAACTTTCATTACTCACCACAAGTACATTAGTAACACTTGCTTGTTATTAATGGAATATTTGCTTATTAGAAGATTTTGGACAATGTTTACCCCCTAACCAATAGGTATTCTTTTGCTATACCTGAGTGGTATGGAATTAAACAGATGAACAGTTCTACAGGCTAGCTCTCATGAGGCTATGACTAAAATGGAGATATCTGTTAAGACACTGTTTCATTGTCATCTTTGTTAGAGGAATAACTGCAAACATAGATTAGCTACCTGACATTGAGGTACATGATATTGTGAGAATTTAGTAATCATCAATACACTTAAATCTGTGCTTATTTACACTGTTAATTTTCCTTGAAGCATCTACTCTGTGGAGTTCAAGGCCAGCCTGATCTACAAAGCAAGTTTCAGAACAGCCAGAACTGTTATACAGAGAAAGTGTCTCAAAAAGCCCCCCACCCAAAAAAAAAAAAAAACATTTTTGTGGGAAATTTATATTACCTTGCACATGAAAATTACCTTCCATGTCTTCTAGATCTTTGAAAATGTACTTTAATATTGTGGTCTTCACATTTGTAGCCTGAAATATAGTACAAGTAAATGCATATTATTGGAAATAATGCAAAATTCAAGCTACTATAATCAATGAACCTAAAAACTATGTCTGTTGTTCACCACATTCTTCCCCTTTATCAATCCAAATTATAGGAAAGTATCAAAAAACCAAGAAGCAGTGTTGTCCCCTTTATTTTAAAAGTTAAAGGAAAATTCACAGTCTTACCTATAGCACTGAGGTTCCTGTAGGTCTCCAGCATCACATCTTTGTAGAGACACTTCTGGGAGGGATCCAGCAAAGCCCACTCATCCTGAGTGAAGTCGACATGCACATCATCACAGGTCACTGCACTCTAAATTACCCCATCCATGTGTACAACAGAGTGATATTGATTAGAATGAAAATATACATTAGAAGGAAATTGAAAAGGAGGTTTGCACATCTTATTTCTTGGACCTTTGAATAGGTTTTACCCACCCAAGAGAAATGGCTATTAACAGACATAGAGACAAGCAAACAAATTAACAGTATTAAATACATGTCAGAGAAATTGTGTGAACAATTACTAACTGCAAAAACAATGAACAGTATCATCCTAGCACTCTGGAGTCATATACAGGAGAATCTTATTCAGTTTGAGGCCAGCCTGGTCTATGAAGTGAGGTCAGCTTATCCAGAGATTCATATTTAGACCCCTCCACCTCCACTCACCAACCAAAGGAACAAAAAGTAAGATGTCACTGAAGTTCCTACAAAAGGATAAACATTCTTTCTAGTTTGTATTCATCTCCAAGAAACCTGAAGTGTCACAGTTTACAGTGTGAGATTAGATATTATTAAAAAGGAACACTTATTTAACATGTTAGAGAAAGAAAAATGTGAGCATCTTTAATGTAGATCATAAAAAAATTACTCAGCAGTTAATATCACTTGCTGATATTGTAGAGAAGATGGGTGCTTACAAAGCTCACAAGTATTCATATTCCATGTTCAGGAGTTCTGAGATCATCTTCTGATTACTAGGAACACCAGGCACACATTGTAAGGATTTAGGTAAGATACGCACACCAGTATTAAGGCAGATATTTAGACAGCTCAAAGGTCCCTGTATTGTGTGGCTACATCATGTGTTATGTGGCTGTATAAGGACTCTGTATAAGGGCATTCATGCAAGCTTTCCCTTTTAAGTGAGCATCTCCCACCTGTTCACCCCTTATTTCTCCTCTTCCCCCTTTCCCCTTCCCTCTCTGGTTGGCCAACACCTACCCCTCCCTTTATTCCCTTTCCCTAATAAACTCCACATGGGTTTTGTTGGTTTGTGTTTCATCACCCTCAGCTAAAGCAAAACAACAATACACATGTGGTGTATATCCATGCATACAGGCAAAATACTCATATCTATTTTAAAAATTCAAAACATGATAAAAGTTGGGAAGACTATCACACATATCCAATCTAATGACATGGGACTTTCAGACATTATTCATGTCATGTTATCCAAGGAGGAAAAAAAAAAGATACATTATGCCAAAGTTTAAAAGTCAAGATATTGGTGAATCTCAGTACAGCAGCACTTGTTTGGTATGTACAAAAACCTTCTTTATGGGTCCAGCAGGCAATAATGTAAAAATAAAAACTCTGGGCATGTTCACCCAAAAATTTAATATCAACACCTGAAGGCAGAGTTAGGCAGATTTCTGAGCATAAGGCCAGTCTGGTCTCAGGAACTATTTTCAGGACAGTCAGTGCTATGTCAAAAACCTTTTCTTCAAAAACAAAAATACAAAATAAAGAAATTTTTTTAAAAAGGTGACCAAATGGCTTAACAAGAAAAAACACTTGTTTTCATTGTTATTTGGAGATAAAGTTCAAAGTGGTTGTGAATCTATAACATCATGAGAAGACAGCTGGCTGATCAATTTTAACAAGTAGACACAAAGAACAGGCAATGGGGTGAGGCTACACAATATCAAATTACCTTCCCAACAAGAAACTTCCTCTAGAAAGGGTCTTCTATTAAAGATTCCATAAGCACCACAAAGAAATCCATCAATAAGAGCCAAATGTTCAAACATATTATCTTACATGGGAGGTTTATACTTAATTCACATTCTGTCCCAGACTACCATGATTATTTCATGATGAAAATGAAGTTACTACATGCATCGCCCCTAAAGCCCTCCTTGTTAGCTTCTCTGAATCTGAGGACTGGTTAGTACTAAACAACTAATATCCACTTATTAGTGATTATATATCATGTTCGCTTTTCTGTATCAGGGTTGTGCATCATGGGATGAGTTTTGTCTAGTTCCATCCATTGCATACAAATTCCATGGTATCACCTTTTAACAGTTGGGTAATGCTTCATTGTGTAAATATACCACATTTTAAAATCTATTCTTTAGATGAGGAAATCTGGGTTGTTTCAAATTTCTAACTACTATGAATAAAGCCTCTATGAACATAGTTGAGCAAGTTTCCTTGTGGTAGGGTGGAGCATGTTTTAGGTATGAGTGTTATAGCTGTGTCTGGAGCTAGATCAATTGCTATTTTTCTGAGGAATCCCATATTGATTTTTGCAGTGGCTATACAAGTTTGTATTCTCACCAGAAATAGTGTGTTTTCCTTGTTCAACCTCCTTAGCAGCATGACTTTCACTCATGTTATTGATCTATCCATTCTGATAGGTATAAGATGGAATTGCAAAGTAGTTTTGATTTTCATTTTCCTGATAGTTAAAGATGTTGAACATGTCTTTAAATGTTTCTCAGCCACTTGAGATTCCTCCATTGTGAATATTCTGTTTAGATCTGTATCCCATTTTTTAATTGGATTGTTTGGTTTATTGGTGTCTGGTGTTTTGAGTAATTTATCATCCTGGCTGAGGCAACCAAGAAGCTTATATACATACTTGGTATGTACTAATTTCCAAATGGATATTGTTAGCAGTCAGGCATACTGGGTCCACCCCTTGGAGACATGGCAGAGTACGTCACCCCTGCACATATGCACTTGCCAGTACTCAGACATTACTCTGATCTGCTCAGGGTCCTGACATTTTCAACCATGTTGCTATAACTACACCCCCTTAAAAAGTTGGAAGTCCTCTCTCTCTCTCTCTCTCTCTCTCTCTCTCTCTCTCTGCTGTCATCCCAGCAGCCAGTTGTTGCATTCCTTCCCTTAACCCCCAGTAAAACTAGTATGTGAGTTCTGTTGTATGATGTTACTTTCCTTTCCATTGCCACCAAACAACATTGGTACTGAGAGTCTTGGAAAAGCTCTCCTGGTGGTCCTCCCCTCCCACAGGTAATCTGAAACACACCAGCATTCTGTTCCTAATCTACCTACAACAGACTCACTTTTCACCTAACTTATCAATGGGCACTCCAATACTGGCAACAATTGGTAAATTTCCCTTCGCCTAGTCTGTATAAATGTGTCCACGGGTCTGTGGGAGTAACCATTGAGTGTCCAGCACCTGTCCAGTATTCTTGGAGGTAGGGGAACTCCAAAACATGGTATTTGAGGCTATGGTTAACCCTCTTCACCAATTCTCATCTCTGTCCATTTCCCACCAGTAAGGCTTACTCTCTTGAGTATGGACTCTTGCCTTTTGGTCCCACCCACAAGACCTGATAACATGCAACCACATCTCTCTAACTTGGAGTCTCCAACCTCTTTTCTTTGTGTGACAACATACTGAACAGTTTGTGCCTACTCAATGCCATCCTCCTTGAATTCCTGGGCTGATAGGAATTACAGGTATTGTATCTTATTTTTCTAACTCACTCATGGGAACTGCATCTCCCACTATACCTCCAAGCACCCCTTTAGAATGCCTTTTTGAAAATATCAGACCTTTATACCTTGCACCCAACTTAAGGTATTCAAAACTCATCTGCCTTTACAGCCAAGTCTGGCCCACCTGCACCTTGGTTAGTTAATCAAAATGTCTGCCTACGGGCAGCTTAGAATCCAATATTATACAAAATCTTTGCAACTTTTGACAGAGGCCCAGTAATTGGAAAGTGGTGCTCTATGTCCAAGCCTTCTCCTACCTTAACTCTAGTCCTTCCCTCTGTTCTTGTTCCCCCACTCAAGTCCTCCTAGCCATGGATTCTGAACTACAGGAACCCTCCACTATTCTGGATGCTAATGAGCCTCCACTCTTATCAATCTCAACACACAACCACTCCTCCTTCAACTCTTCCAGTCCCTTCCTCCTCTCCAGTGATGGGCCATTCTAACCATCTGATTCTGACACCCACTTTCACTCCCCATTACTTGTGCATGCTCTGCTATGGACACCATCTCTCTCCCCCAGCCAAACTGGCTACAGTTCTCCCATTTCAAGAGTTTCCCAGGGTGGGTGGACTACTTAAGGTACAAGCCCCCCCCTTTTTAAATTTTATGTATTTGTATTTTATGTATACATACTCTTCATGCCAGAAGAGGGCAGCAGATACTATTATGGATGGTTGTGAGCCACATGTGGGTGCTGGGAATTGAACTCAGGACATCTAGAAGAAGAGCTATTGCTCTTAACCCCTGAGACATCTATCCAGCACAAGTCCCTTTTTCTTCAAGTGAACTCTTTCAAATAGGGGGGAAAACCCTCGGGTATTATATATCTAACTCTGGTTCTTTCATTAAAGATTTCCAATATAACCCAATTATATAGCCTCACCTTCCATGACATATATATATGATCTAGCTAACAACCTACTGAGGAACACAGATGAGTTTGGGAATGGGCTAGAGTGCCTGCAGATGAAATCCAACAGACTAACACAGCACACCAAGGTGGGGCAGAATTAGTTCCCAACGGGGATCCCCAATAGGACTATAATATCCCAGGGGGCATTCTAGCTAGAGACTGCCTCCTGGCTGGTCTCCATAAGACTGCCCTTAAACCAGTTAACTGTGAAAAACTCCAAGAAGTTGTCCAGGACAAAAAGGAAAACCTGTTCCTAGGAAAATCCAAGAGAGCAGACAATACTTTATAACCTTTATTTTTTCCAGAGCTTCTGACATTAGGGCCAAGCTTAAGCATTTGGGAGAGGATCCCTAACCCCTCAGGCAGAAAGCTTTGCTCTGGCCTCTAAGGTATACCATGAGAGAGATGAGAAAGCCCATAAACACAAATACTAAAAGCTGGTCAAGGCTATTCAATGAGCTTTGGTGACTAACTGGGCTCCCTTGCCTTCTAGGGCTTTAGGATCACCAGGTCCTTAATTCAAATGTCATCAGGAGGGTCACTGGATCAATGCCTGCCCTAATCCCTATGGGCCACCTAGGCCATGTCCAAGGTGCCACCAAAAGGGATATTGGGCTCTTAATTTTCTCCATGTC